ATAATTATCGAAATCTATAAATGTTAAGGTTTTTGTGGTTGAGAAAATTTTGGCAAAAAAGATAATAGATGGTATCATTTATTACAAAATCAAATGGAAAGACTATGATAGGCCTGAGGATGACACGTGGGAAGAGGTTGATTTTTGTGCTTTAAATATTTTATTTAATTAGATTGATAATTGCCATTGTGTTGACCTGATTAAAGAATACGAGGATTCTCACAAGAATGACAAAGTGCAAGTTATCTCAACTAAACCTCAACGAAAGGAGACTCGTGGAAGGAAGCGCAAATTTCGCAAAAGCATGGTATTTTTTAGTTTGTAATAATTGAAAATCCTCCTTTGATTTTTATCCCATTATGTTTGGTCGGGTTAATTTTTCCTTGCAGGATTAATAACGTTAATTTTAGCTAAACATCTTTTGGTAATCCTTTGGTTTAGATCCTCTCTTTTTTCCTGTTTGCATGACCATTTTATGCTTTTTTCTTGAATTTAAAAGAACCCTTTGGGCTGGTCAATTGTTAATAAGATCAGTTAGATTTGATGATTTGGGACAGCTACGAAGCTGGTTTTGTGCCGATTTTTTGATAAATATTAAACTTTCCTATACATTTTTTAACTAATTTTTTAATATTTTTTAGACTAATGTCATCGCTAAAAAACAAAATGTTGACCACACTTCCAGACAAATACCTTTCGGTTTTAATTTTCTTCAACTTAATCTAGCATCTAAATTTTAAGTTGAAAAAGAAAATTATTTCTTAAACGGAAAAGGTATGGTAGTGGACACAATTTTGGGATTTAGCAGATTACCTGACAATGGGAAGACGATGGCTTTGGTTTAATTAAATTATTTTTAATAATTTTTAAAGTTCTCTTAAGGTTTGTTATTTGGATGGACAAATCGAGTATATCCCTGTTGATTTATTGCGTAAAAATGAAAGTGGAAAGGAGGTTTATTTTTTTTGTAGAAATTTTTTCGGGTTTTAGGACTTTTAAAAATTTTAATCTAGCAATAAACTTGTTAAATTGAATTAGGTAAATGGAAAGAAAATTTGTCTAGGGGGAAGTTCTTTCCTCTCTCTCCTTCGAAACTAACAATAAGGCTTTCATTTCTTCGGGAATTATTTTCGATCCTTTCGTTAGATTTTCAATTATGATAGTACTCCTTCGTTTCCTAAACAAGTTAATTGTTATAATTTTTCGACTAATTACACATATAAATTCTATTCTTTTCCAGCGTCTTGTTGATTTTCTTTTACAACGTGTTCAATTTATTGATCTTCCCTGATATATTTTGGGTATTAAATGTTTATTTGAATATTGATCTTTCTTTGCATTGATTTCTGTTGCGGATTCTTCACTTACCTCGATGATTTTAAATTTAGTTCAAATATTTTTTGAAATTTTTTTCATCTTTTTGCTGCATATTACTTGATTATATTGGTGATAAATGTTGATATTTGCTTAATTATTTTTAACAAGTTACCTGTATTTTTATAGTTTAATATATAATTTATTTACTTAATTTTAATTTTTAATTATTTTTTTCGAAGCTCTAGTATTTATAAAGAATTTGTTTAAAAATGGTTACGACAATTGGACATTTGTGAGTTTTTAATTTTCGGCTAGAAAATTTTGTTAAGAATTTTTGAGCTTAATTTTTGCGGACAAAGTTATGATCTATTAAGGATTTTTGAGGGTGTTCTTTTTAATAACACTGCTAGCTTTTTCGGTATAAAGTAGCTTCCTCCTTTTTTAAATGATATAAATTTTGCTTTTCGATTTTTTGTAAATTCATTTTGTGAATCATTTTTGCATAATTGATGATCATCCCTTCTCCGTTCGTGTTAGAAAGCACAGCCCTTTAGAAAAAGCAAATCGATTAATTGAGAACATCCAGAAAATAAATTATTTTTAAGAATCCTTGACACTTCATAAAGACAATCTTTAATATTACGCAAATTTATCCGCAAAAATAAATGTACAAGAAATCTGTAAATTTTGACAAATATTCTTCTTTTAGAAACAGCAGCATAAGCGAGATTAATAGCTGGGTGGATGCTGTTGATCAAGAACATAGTTTGCGGGAAACTAGACGAACTGAGATAATGAAAGATGGACTTAAAATTGTTACCGATTTTATTGAAAATGAGGTCAATGGAACTAAGAAGATGTCGAAGGTATGTGAGAGATTTTAAAATTTTTCCGCATTGTTCTCCGGGTAAATTAAATGGGTCGCCCCCTTTTTGTAGGAATGTTTTGTAAATAATTTTGGCAATAGTGTATAGTATACCGTTGGAAAGGTTTCGATACAAGTCTCATACCATTTGATTTGTCTCGACATGCTGATGTGAGTCGAATGGTACCACTTTTCCGGACCAGCGGACCGAGATATAGATCCCCGAAAATCGAAAAACCATGGGGGGAGTAGGCACAATTTTAAAATGTTTTTGAACGCCTGACCTAAAGTGGGTTTTTGGGTCTTGCCAATGGGTACAATTATTTACCTGACATTTTTGTTCTAGTATATCTTTAATCCCTGTGTTATTTTGTAGGTTGTCACAACATACAAAGTCATTACAAAAAAAGTTCCTCGAGTCGTTGCAGAACGCAAAAAGTGGAAAAAGTTTGGTCAATCAAAAGATGATGGTCCAGGTCCTCATATCAACACAACTTATGTGGCTGTTGAAGTTGAATTACAATTTCTTCATAATAAATTTGGGGAGACTGACGACCTTTTAATGGATGAAAAGGGACAAGCAACAAAAGGAATGCATTGTCGTTTATGCAAATCTGATGAACATTGGAGTACTCATTGTCCTTATAAGGTTTTTATTTTGAAAGAAAAAATTGAAAAAAAATTTTTAAGGAGCATTTCAAAGGAAATGAAGATTCTGATTTGGCTGATAAATCTGCTGCTACAAGAATTGGTGGTGGTCCAAGTCAATTACCTCGTGGTACTTATATACCGCCATCTCTGCGAAATGTTGGTAGTGGGGCTGCTATTGGAGGTTAGTAAATATTTTGGTGTTTATTGTTTACAATTTGGGTATTCTTTTAAGTCTTAATTTTGACAAGTATCTTTTCGCGGGATTTAAGTTATGATTACTTTTATTCTTTCGGGATAAATATTTGAAGTTAGAACCCGTGTAAGAACTATTCGTTTAGCAAAATATAATTTGACTAACAGCTCATTGGACTTATAAAGCCAAACTTTTCGTGAATTCTTAATCTTGGCCAATTTTAGAAAGAAATCAGCTCTTTTCCGTTATTTAAAAAATTAAGCTCTATATTCCTGAAAAAGATTTTTAGTTTCTAATTTTTACCCAAAAATTTAAATTTTAGTTTCTGAACGTCATTCGGATGAGACAACTGTTCGTATAACTAATTTGCCTGAGGATTCTGATACTTTGGAAGATGATTTGAGGGGAATGTTTTCTAAAGCTGGAAAGATATTGCGCTCATATGTTGCTCGAGATAAAATACATAACAAGCCAAAAGGATTTGCTTTCATTACTTTCGCGCAGAGAAACGAGGCAGAAAATGCAATTCAAAACTTTAATGGAGCTAAATTTGAACATTTGATTCTTAAAGTGGAATGGACAAAGTTAGTTATTTTGTGAATAAAATTTGAAATAATTGTATTTGGTTTTAATTAAATGATATAAACAATATAGAGATATCATAAAGGAAAAATACAAGAAGGGGGAAAAAAGTCCGCATCCCATTTGCGGGTAGGTAGGACATCAACACCATCTAGTGAGCTCTAGTGGGGTTTTCTAACTAACAAGGAACCAATATCGAACTGTCAGGAGTACGCATTCTATTTAAGGACATCTCAAGGCATTTTTAGGCCCAGGGGTGTATCTAAAACTATGTTAAGGAGACTTTGTTCAAATCCTAATAGGATTTGAATTTTTCGTGATACATTCAAAAATAATTTTTTTAATATTAAATTTTTTTAGACCATCAACGAATTAAATACAAAAAGAATAAAGGGAAGAGAAAATTATTTTGACAATAAATATTTTGTTTTGTAAAGAAATTTGTGAATTGAAATAAAATTATATGTTGTTAAATATTTTGTTTTCCCACATTTAAGTTCTTGATAAACGAGACTGAACACCTAAAAAATAATAAATTAAAAAAATTTATTTTCAACAACCTCAATAGGTTACTTCATTTTTCACTGGTTTCATTGGAATTTGATATCTTGGGAAAATCATCTTAAACACTTCCATATATTTCTTCACAAAGTGTGCGATTATTCCACCTTTTTCTTTTTCGTTTATGTTGTTCCATTGATGCTCCATATTCTTTGGAAGAATGAGATGTTTTACGCCCAAACGTATTGCCGCTTTTAATATGACTGGGAGTTCCGGAACTTCTATAATTTCGCCAGAAAAACTTATTTCACCGATCATAGCATAATCTTAAAAAATATTTTTTTAATTAATTAAGAGTTTAATTTTTATCTATTACCATTTTCAGGTGCCATTTTTAATAAACACGAGAGCATTGAGCTAACAATGGATATACCGGCACTTTCTCCACTCTTCCACATTCCAGCCTGAAAAAAAAGAAAAAAATTTTTAACGAAAAAAAAACTAACTGGAAGTATATTAATAGCCAATTGTTTTTCATAAACATCTAAACCGAGTTCTTCTTCCATAAATAAAGAAGTAAAAGTCCTTGCAACAAAACAACTGTCTTTCACGCGTTGATCACAATTTCCCAGTACGGTTATTGGATTTGGTCCATTCTTCAAATCAGCACATTCAACGTAACCAAATCTGCCTACTGAAAAATAATGAAAGTTTAAAATGGCTTATCTTAAAGGGTTTTACGGCCTATCTGAAACTCCTTTTTCTCCAAAAAATTTTCTGTTTTCAGTTAAAGGTTAGCAAGGACTGTACTTCAAAAATATATGTATTAAACTTACATCCATCCGATGACCCTAGCAAAATCGTGAAAGTGCCAATTGGAAGTGTCGTGAAGAACTTTTCATCGTAACCAATAATTGAATGAACGGAGTCTTGTTGAGTGACGGCTGTCGCTAATGTCCATTCTATATTCTTTACCATTGAGAGCATTCTCTGAAATTTTAAAAAGATTTAAGGGTAAATAGAAGTATTTTTTCTATTTTTACTAAATTTATCCTAAAAAATAGGACTTTTTAAAACGCTCTTTTCTAGAAAGAGCTATTAGAATTTAATTTTTTTCTGTCTACTGAAAAATAAGACAAGTTTAAAAGGTAAAAGAAGTTTAAAAAACTTCACTTACTGCGTTGGGAAAACTCCAAGTATTGTTAGTATAAGTGCTGATAGACTCGGGAAATTCGATGTTCGGCATTAATTTTTGAATTTTTTGATGTTCTTGGTTTGCATTATTGCTTTGATGTTTGTAATTGTTTTTCTTCATTAATTGTTTGCCTTCTTTCTTTGATTTAATTTTTAATTTTCCCAATTGCTTATTTTGTTTAGGTTGCTTCTGAAAACAAAAAATTCTTTTCAAATAATAAAGATAAATATTCTACCTTATTCACTTTGTATTTTTTCTTTCCACATGTCAACAACAAGACGGCACAACAAACAAAAGAGTAAATCATCAAGCAATAATAATAGCAGTAGTTACAGAATAAATAAAACATTTGTTAAAAATTTTTAGGGGTTTAGGGACTTTGATGGTAAGGTTTGTGTAAATTGGTATCTTTTATAGTACCGGGTGCGGCAAATTAATTTATTATCAATTTTCATTAATTTTGAAGAAAGTTATGAGGCCTTAATTTGCCGCACTCTGTAATAATTTTTTGGCTACCAGAGGTGGTTAAACAAGCTGTATTTGGGAGTGTTGGAAATAGGAAAAATCAAAACTTAATTGGGAAAGTGAAATAAATATGTACGGGTTTGAAATCCAACCGTACTTAAAAATGACTCATATTTAATCACTTATTTTTTGTTTTATTTCAGGATTACTATTCGAAAGTCTATTTGTTCTATTCCTTATATAATTTTAGAATGCTTTGTCTGTTTCCAGCTTTGTATTTTGCGAGACTTGTTGTTGTGTTTGGCGTTGTGTTTTTTTTAATAAAAATGACAGAATATCCCAGAAAAGAAAAATAGTAATTTGTATTTAGAGGGTTAAAGGCAGGGCTCGCATCGACAAAATGACAATCAAAAGTATCAAAATCTCGATTAAAAGGTATATAGCAGGGTTGCCGCCCGAAACCCAGCCTTTTTTTGTACCCGAAACCCGATACCCGAAAAGATTAATCTGAATTTAAGTTAT